CATCGTTCAATGCATGAAATCGAGTGCACTGGCATCGGATTTGAACAGTTTGATGGATCAACTTGCGCACGTCCTCGTCATAACTCACATCACTTTTCCCCTTTCCCCCCTCATCTGCTGGCCTTCGATCCCCCCCATCCAAATCCTCGTTCCCAGCCCCCATCCCAATCCCCATTCCCATCGAAATCCACGTCCACGTCCATCTGCTGGCCAAGGCCTCCTCCATTTGACGTTTGACGTGAGAGCACGTTTGATGGAAGATCTGTCAGGACGGCATTGAGCCTTGTTCCAATTCGCTTGCAGCTTTAGCCTGTCTGTTTCAATGTTGGCCAATTTGCAAGCTGAATGATTGTCGGTGGCTTTTGTTCTCGGCCCAGACTCGTGGGCAACGATTTCTTCATTTTTAGATACCCCATGGCCCCTGATTTATTGGCAATTAATAAAATTGAAGTGTCATAATTCACAAGGCGGTCTCTGTAAGCCGTCTGCTCAGTTATAATTGCGAATTGAAGGGTGGGGCTCGGGACTCCACCTCAGCTTAAAATTAGGTTGGAATGGATCGAGAAGTGTGGGAACAATCTAAAGTATTTCTCTGGCAATAAAAAGGCAAGCGAAGGTCAAAACATGTAAGGTATTGGAACTAACCTTTAGCTATTTAATGCTCTCTCTTTTATTAACCAAATAAATCAAATAATGTAACCTATTCTGTTGTTTTTGGCCGGGGAATTTGTCCTTTTCGAATAACACTCTAAAAACTCTGATGAAGTATTAAGAAAATCATTGAGTTAAAGATTCAATTTTTAAGGCTTCACCAATTTAAGTTTAGTCTGTACTACCATATTCTACCAAATAAACAAATAACACTTTATCCTATATTTTGCAAGAATCGTTATTTTCTATAAAAACTTTTTTATTGGCAGGTTGAGTTGCACTCTAACTACTCGACACAAAAAGGTGTAAGTGTAATATTTTCTTAGAAAAATCATAGATATTCAACTTCAAAGGATACTTAAAGCTTTAAGGAGCGTTAAGTGCAATCCCTTTGTCGCAGAGATTGTGAACCAAGCTTCTATCTAGATTACTGCTCGAGATCAATTGAGTAAACCGCAAGGCATCAAACTCCGAACAGCAAAGTGGGATCCCTTTGATGGAATACACATCACTTCGAGGGGACAGGGGGAAGGAGGGGGTTGGGGGTGAAGTATAGCTGTTACCGACGATGATGACGACGATAAGTGCGTCCGATGTCGGGGCCACAGGGCGTATGAGCGCCCGAATCGAGATGGCAGGGGATGGGTTGCGTTTTGATTGATTGATGACGAATCGGGCGTCGTAATTCACGTTGAGAGGCAAACAATTTGCGTCCCCTTCAGCGGGAAGGTGAGAACATGAATTGTTCGGCGCAGAGTCGCTTGTTGCTTGGGAAAATTTTCGGAAAATGCCTACAAGCTCACAACCACACACATACACAATGGGAAGGTCCTTCGATTGTGCCAGACAGAAATGGGACTAGGACAAGGCCGCAGCAGAATCAAGGAATTATATCGCAATAGTCTGCCGTGTGGCAAAGGCCACGAACCAACCACCCACCACTCACACCCCCCCAATGCCACCTCCTCCTCCTTTTCCTCCTTCCCCTTTCCCTTCAATAGGAGACAAAGCAACAGCAAGCAAGGAGGAGCAGGAGCAGCCGTAAAAAAAGTTGAGGCAAAATTGTTTTTTCCAGCAGTTCGGTTTCGTATGGAGTTGAATTTCCTTGGCGAGGCACAAAAACCTCCGAATAGCGATTTTTTCACGTTTTCCCCAGCACACACACATACAGTTACTCACACACACATAAAGACCACCTCCTTTTTGCCAAAGTGTGCGTGCGTGTGGGCCTTGGCAGCGAGTCGAGCGTCTGCCTGCCGTCTGCCGGAGCTTTTTCTTTTGGCCCGGCCCAGAGTTCAAGTTCCCCTCCCTCCGCCCAATGAACCCCCCTCCCCCTTCACTCCCCTCCCCACCCCTCCCCACTGGCAAACCCCCATTCATCGAACCCGATGGCAACTTGTTGATTTTTGTATGAAATTCACATGCAAAAACCAAACCAATTTCGCCCTTCATTGGCGCTCGCCGGTCGGCACTCGCTTTCCTTTTCCATTTTCCCCTTTCCCCTCCCCAGTTTTCCCCCTGTGTTTCGTTGTGTTTGTTTTGCGTGGCTTTCATCCTGCGCTTTTCCTCCTCGCTTTTCCGGCAAACTAGGCTGCCCCGGCAGCGGCCAAAAAGAAATCAATAATCGATTTTGCCGTAATGTCTGTTTTCCCCTTTTATTTCTTTAAAGTTCGCTGGGAAATTCCTTATTTACTTTGTGCTTGGTGGGCTGCTGAAGAGCTTTAAGGGGTCCTTGATTGTTTGCTGGTTTTTGGGTTCAACAATCCAGCGAACTGACCTACAAACTTACAATGAAATGGTTATTAAAATGCAAATATAATGGAAAGTGCGATTTTAAATCTAAAGTAAATTAAGTAAAGCTTTCCTTGGAATGTTTGCTACTTAAGAAAACAATTCTTTAATCATCTGAAGTCAGCCGACTCACACTGAGTCTTCTTAGACTTCATTCCCGTTTGTCATTTGCATCTCTGCGGGCAAAATCCTTAGCTGAAACTCGATCCAACGGCCGAAACCCACAACCAACCACATGCCACAATTTACGGCTCGTTCATCAATTGTGACAACGGCTCAAGTAATTCCCTCGGACATTTCACGCCAAACTGAACGCAGACGACACCCAATCAAAGAGTTAACTCTTCCGAGCAGAGGGCTTAAAAAGGCAAAAAACAAAGGGAAAATAATACCAATTAGCAGAGGAGCAGAGCGAAGCGCGGAAGCTGAGGGGAATCCTCTTCGGACTGCTGGCATTTATTAATTTCCGATTAGCGACATGGAATTTGTGTGCTACCGAAATTTTCGAGCCGAAATATGCTCGTCGGTAGCCAAACGATCAGTGTTTAGTGGGCTCGAATTACCTTTCGATTTTCGGACTCTTCCACTTTCGACTTCTAATGCCGCCTGACACTTGCTGCCAAGTGTAAACGACGCCACTTCACGGTCTGTTTAGCTGTACAGTATCTCCTCTCATCTCTGATTTATAGCCATTGTGTTCATAAATCACGAAAACGTTCCCTGGCAAGATCCAAATGTGCCCTAAAAGCGTCCATCAGCGGTAATAGAGCGGTGCAGGCTGCAGAAACTGGTAATGCCGATCACTTAATCGAGCCGCGTTCGAGGCGACCACAGTACAATTAACCCCGGGGGGGCCTTGCCACACCAGACTGGCCGTAGTTAGCAGCTATTGAGAGGCGGACACAACCCACGCATTTCCCCCCTTTCCCACTGGAAGTGGCACACTACCTTTGTGGCAGCCAGGTTGCACGTTGAGTGTAATTGGATTGTCAAAATAGGAAAGAAATCACGACTCTATTACAGGCGGTTCAGTAGCTGCACTTGGCTGCTCCAAGCTGCTCTTGGCTTTTATACTTCGAAATAAGTAGTGGAAATTATATTACGCAATTATGTATTTATTTTGACAATTCACGTTGCTTGTAGTTCAGCGTTTGAGTGAAGGAGAACTGTGCATAAAATGAGATTTACTTTAAACTATGTAGGTATACTTATAAAACCTTTAATATTATAAATTGACACCATTTTGGTCTATTGATTTATTGAAATGAAATGCAATCAAATGCAAATTTATTTATAGTAAAGCATAATTTATTTTTTATTTATGCTCCGATTGCGGGGAAGTTTTAATTACCACTTACACATATTCAAAATAATATTTTATGTAAACATTTAATACTTGTTAGCTTCAATAAACTTATCGTAAAGCCTTATCTTTGTTGATCATTTCATTACAGGGGAGAGTAAGGAATATACTAATCAACTTAAGGTTTTAAAGTTATGAAGGGTTATTCTAATAATAATGTTTGCAGTACCCCCTCATACCAACTTGACCTCATCTCCGTTTAGCATGCATTAACCTCAGTCTCAGTTGCACTGCGAGGAGGTCCTGTTCCCAGTTGTCCTGCATGGTAGATGTCTTCGTTTAGCATTTAATTTTCTGCGGTTGTTCGGACGGAGGAAAGGGGCAAATCACTCGTATTGCGAATGGGGAGTTTTTCCCACAGAGGCTGGACCCAGTGACAGATTGCCTGGAACGCAGGGGGCGGTGGACTTGGGGCTGGGAACTGGGAACTGGGGGTCAGAGGCTCCTCCTTCGGCTCCGGCCGGGCACAACTCATAATTCATCCGGATAACAACAGTGGAGGTCCTGTTTTCTGTTTGCAGTTTTACTGCTGAAGGGCTGAACCGCCGTCGGTGACGTTTTGACACCATTTTCGGTGCGGCGATGATATGGCATTCATCTTGACAGCCATAACTGCCTCTGATGCCTGCGTGCGAGTCCTGCCGTCCCGCCATCCTTTCGTCCTGTGTGCATGTGGATGCGGCTGTGTGGATGCGAATGTCCTTTCGTGCCCCGACGACGATGATGATGATGACGATGATTTACTCTGTCCGTCCGTCCGAATGTCTGCCCACTGTGGGTGGCTATGAGTGCGAGTGTTGTGTCCGTGTCCGTGATGCATTTACGTCACTTACTTGAATGTTGCAACGCATTTTCGGTCACCCCGAGCACGGGCACACTCGCAGGACATATGACAAACATAACACCACCCTCTGGCGGGCAAGGACACGCACACTCGCACACTCGCACACTCACACACTCACAGACTCGCAGGCGGAAGAGGAGTCGGCTCCAGTGCCACAGACTGAAACATGTTGCGTCGTTGGCAGCAAAACCAAAAAATGTCCTTGACACTTAATTCACGCTGCATTAATGTGAACTGAAACTGAATGAAGTTGTTCGTTGGCTCAAAGCAGGCACAGTGGTCTCGAGCCAACGAAGAATACATTTCAAATTTTGATTATTAAATACTCTTGAAAATTTAAGATGGCTTAGATTTTACTTAAGAATTCTTGAGAAAGTTTATTTTGTATCATAACTACATATTTTGTATATATAAAATATAACAAAAATGTTTGCTTTCTTAAACAGTCCGCCACGATAAATTTATAAAAATTTTAATGTCACATACATTGCACAAATAATCACTTCAAGTAAAATTATTCTCTTTAAGAAGCAACCACTTTATCAATTTAATCATCTTCGTCTTGCATTTCTGCAGCAATTCTGAAAATAAAATTGAAAATCGTTCATATAAATCTTCTTTCAGGTTGCAACTTACAATTCTATAGGTCTGGGTCTTCTCTTCACCAATTTCACTGTTCGCGATATGCTAACTCTTGAAACTCTTTGTTTCGCAACTGTTGTTCGGACGATAACGACTTTGGCAGTAGCCATATTCTTAAAAAAAAGCTAATTAACTGTTTCAAATTTTGTCATGTACTCATTTATTTTTAAAGGAATAAAAATATGTTGCTTAACAAATTGAGTTTTGGATCAAAGGTCATAGATGGCACATTGACGACTATTTTAAAAGTAAATGCTTGTACTTGTCTTAAACACAAACATAATTCCTATCTCTAGGATAGAAACAAATTATGATAGAACCCTGAATGCATCAAATTCGATGCACTGTATCGCATCTTCTTCATAGACACCCCCCAAAATAGTGTACTGAAAAGTTTAACCTCAGAAACACTTTCCCGGCAATGATCTCTCCACCCTCCCAACGACCCCTACTCTTAGTGCGACCTGGACCTAACCCATGTTTTTCCAACACTTTTCCGACTCACCCGCCCCCGCCCCCGCACTCCCTATAATATCCCCGTCATCATCTGACCAAAGTGAAATGCAGGCAACACATTGCATTCCCATTCCTGGGGACATGCCGAAAAAAGCTCGTAAATTACTGGACAATGTGGAGTGGCGATGGTGATTGGAGATGAAGGAAGCTGGAGGACGGAGGAAGGGGGATGGAGGATGGGGTGGGGATGGGTTGTGCCCGGCAAATATAAACATCAACAACAACGGAGCGGCAACAACTAGAACAACAACACTCATCGCTCATGTTGGTGATGATGCATTTTGCGGTCTGTCACACCAAATGCAATTTGACGGAGCTGTGCAAAAACTGTTTTTCGAGCTATCAACCAATTTGGCCACGGCTGCACGCCAGGCCACACAGTTGCCACAGGTTTCCTCGTGTCCCACTCCGACTGTCCCATGCAACCATCCATCCTGCCCCCATCTCCACCTCCTTTCATTTCTGACCCCTTCTGAGGCAGCCTCTCATCCAGTATCATGACAGTGACCAGTTCTCTACGCTTAGGAAAAAGGCATGCACATATTCAAATCTCATACTGCCAATAGTCGGGATTACTTATTTATATATTATTTAAATATACATTTATATATTTTTTAAACTCTAAAAACTTAACAAAAAGGAAACATCATGTTAAAAAATAAATATAGAGTTGGGAAGCGTAAAGAAAGAATTACTTCTTTTGAAGAATATAACAACAAAATTTTTAATAAATATCTTTACTCCTTTACTGCTTTGTTTAATAATATGTACAATCATAACCGAATTATTAGAATTTGTTTTTAACCAATTAGGTAGTTTGGAATTAAAGTTAAATTTAGAGAAGTAGTCCATTAGTTTCTTATCACAAATACTTTTTTAATATTAATGAAAACAAAACATAACCAAATCAAGAATGTTTTGCATTTAATAATTTTTTCTTATGTTTATGTAAATTGTTTTCAGTGTTTCTGAAAAACATTTTTCTTCTGCCTCTGGATGTTACTCTTGCTACTTTTCCCACTGCAATAATGCCGCTTCTGTTCATCCACGCACCCACTAATATTTTTCGGATTGTAGAGAATTCTTTTAAGCGGTATTTATGCAAGGGTATTAATGTATTACGATTTTGAAAACATTACATACTTACATATTTTTTATTCATTCATTAGCTTTGCCTTTGATTTGTATTTTAAAATATTAAATTTAAAATTCAATGTTTTTAAGTAGTAAATAAAGAGAGCGGATATTTCTTTTAAAGGGTCTGCTAGTTATCCTCTTTAATTTTTTAGGAATAACTACGCCTTTATTTATTTTGTTAGTTGTCCTTTTTGGCCTTCATGTGTTTTGGTTTTTTCTGTTCGTGCATGAGTCTTGTCTAATGTTTTGTTTGTCTGTTTTAGTGCGTTCGTGTGGCCGGGATGATGTCCTGGTTTTGTCCTGGGCCGAGTGTGTTTATGTTGGCGGATTCATGTCGTCACTGCGTGAAATGTGTGTGGCAGATGTGAGGGGTGAGTGCCTCTGTGCCACTCCCCCTTTCCACAGCCCCAATTCGGTGCAGGCTAGTTTTGAAATTTATGTAGCGCTGGTGAGTCGGTTTTATTTTCTCCGCCTTTTTTGTGGCCGTTGTTGTTTGTTATCTGTGTAGCTGGGCAGCATCACGACCATTAACTGCCATTGTCCACTGTCCAAAGTACAGAGTCCTGTGTCCAAAGTCCAGTTCCACATGTCACCGGCAAGTCGAGCACTCCACCGTCGGATGGTCGTAAATGTCAGAAGCGCGTGTAAATGTCTTCAGCTGCAATTATTTGGCCTCCTTTTCAGGGCTTCCGTCCACTTTTCGGCCCGATTTTTTAGCTGGGAAATTTGATGTGCATCCCCTGCCCATAAATCATTAATTGCAATTAAAGGGAGCTCCGCTTTTATTCCTCGTGCTGTTCGAATTACAATAATGGAGCTCTGCAGCCAGCGGATTTATTCTCCCAGCTGCCCAGGCACATCAGTCAGGGATTGTGCTTTTAGCTGACTCAGTCCACTTTGAGCCGGCGATTCTGTTCGTGTCCCGCATCAATTTATTGCCGATCATCATGCGACGCGCCAAGTGGATAAATATGGAAGATATGTGCGGATATACAAGGAAACGACGCGATGAGCCTGGCGATGTATCAAACAAATCATGTCGTGTCATAATATTGACGTGCACCCGATACACTTTAAAAAGAGATCACTGAAAGAAGAACTTTAATAGGGGAAATCACCTGTATCTACGGGTCAATGCGGAATGAATCTGGATTAACTGGCTTTATTATTGTGTTTTAAAATAACAGATAAATACAATTTTATCTTTTATAATTTCTTTAGTTACCGGAAAACACTATTTTAGAACATCACATTTCTTGGATAGGATATGCTGATTTTTTGGTTTCTTAATTCCAGTTGAAAACTTGGCACTGTTTCGAATCCCATTACACGGCAGTGCGGTTTGCAACAGATCGATTCACTTAACCGGAAACAGACAGGTGAACATTTAATTTCTTCCAAAACAGCCAGCCATCAAAATGCGAAAACTGAGTCTAATTTGTTTAGCAAATTCACGCAGGGCAATGCAGCATCTTGGTTCTCTTTATTAAGCCTCCTGTCCGCAGCAGACATTGGTGGGCCAACAAAACCGATGTGGCGAGGATTAGCCGAAATACTTGGGAGTGTTGTCTGATTTGGTAGAACGGCCACTGGACAGATGGACACGCACAGAGTGGCCAGGGATGTGGCTTTTGGCCCGTAATGCCGAACGGAAACGTTACTTTTTTTCGGTTCTGGGGGAAATTATCCAATTTTGTTCACTTGATTGACTGCACTTTTGATGCCGCTGCCAAGGCCACAAAACCTCAATGCAGATGCATCAGCTCCCCCACTCCCCTTTCACCCCCTTTCCCCCTCCCCCTCTCAATCCAATGTGCCTTGATCCTTGGTACTGGGCTTGTGTGGCCAATAGCCAGCACCTCGTCCAGTTTCCTCGTCCGGAGTCCCTTAATGGACTTTCGCAATCAGCTGTCAATGCCTCGCCCAGAATCGCCTCGGTTATTTATTTTTGCCTCAGTGCGAAGTGTCACCGACTTTGCAGCGATTCCATCAATCAATCGCTTCGAATTATAAATAACCAAAACCTCCTCGGGGCCGCCGACCGATTGCCAGATTGTGAGAGTACACTAAAGGAAAAATTGGAGAAACCTGAAGTTTTTGAAAATGTCTTCAGAAAGAATTATATAAAAAAATTTCCTTACTGAATTGTATACAATAATTTCTTTTTTAAATTAAATTAGTAATAATTATAAAACTATTTATTAATGTTATCACTATAATTATTTTCTAGTGAAATAAGTAAAAAAATTCATAAAGAATATATTATATTACAAATTCAAAGATATTTATGGCATTTGTCATTTTTATTAATCATGATTTTATTTTATAAACACCAAAATAAAGTTATTTTTTCTCAGTGTATGTGAGTGAGTGGCTGAACCGGGGCGTGTCTGTCCAGCAGCGGCGAGATGGTGACGATTTTGAAAAATTGCCAATCAAAGGAAAACCGCAAAGAGTTCCAAGTCACGTTGCAGTTGACATCGCAGCTCTTCGGGCCGCGTGCCAAAAACAAAGGAAATGTTTTTCTGATTTGGCCATTTCAGATTTCTCCTGACTGCCTGCTGACTGTCCTTCATCGATTCTGACGAATTACTCACAGACACTCAGAGCGATCCGATGCACCGCCAATTTCCAGCACAAATGTCGCCGACAATATGGTAAATTGTTTTCGGGGTGTTCTATTAATTGCTCAATTGTTGACGGACAATTCGATTCTATTGTGCACATCATTCAGCGTTAAGTGTGCACATTTTTTCGGCTTTCAAAACTGTTTGCTTAGGCCAACATTTATCTTTGTTAGACACGTATGGAAATGGTTTGATTTTCTGAATGTTGGACCAGGATTTAATGGTTAGGGGGTTTTTCAAAACCGTTGATGAGAGATAAGCAATAAAAAGATTAATAGGTCCTTAAAAGGATAATAACAAACTCAACTTCATTATTGATACCTATGTATACATGTAGAAGTGATTTTTGAACTCCTAAATATAATTTATGCTGTTTAAAGTTACTCATAACAAAATATATAAATATTTGTGAGTGGCTTTTTAAAACTGTGAAGGCAAATCAATATAAAACAATCCCAAACTCAGCTTTCACTTGTCCGATCAGCTTATCTCCGCTGCCAAGTGCATTGGATCCATCAAATTCGAGACCGAAACCGAGACCGAGTCGCCAACAAGCCTGATGAATGTGCCGAGGTATCGATGGGGCATCGCCGAGAGTATCGCATGTCTAATGATGAGAAAACAATAACAACCCAGCACAAGTGTCTCGAAGATATCATTGCGCATTGGCACTTGCGCATTTATCGCTTACATGGAAACTCTGCTGGCTGAAGACAAATTTTTAAGTGTCTCGATAATGTCAATATCATCATTCGACTGGGATGCCAAGAGGGCTGGATCCAGTTCCATCGAACTGTGCCGGATTTCACCCGATTGACAGCCATCAGGCAGCATGGAAAAATTCGAAATCAAAAATCCGCGCAAACAACAATCGAATGCATTCGCACTCGAGATTGTGTTCGAGATTTTGATCGAATTTAAGATGTGAGGCTCTACACACTCAGAAAAATAATTTAAATATAGAATACCATATATAATATTATTACATTTTATCATAAACATCTCTTTAAACCAGTCCTTACTTAATACTAAATTCCTGTCTAAAAATTATTATAATGCCTGAGAAAAGTATTTAGAAACGGAATGAATTTTCACTGTAAAATTTTATAGACAGCTCCAATCGAGCTATTTGATATTTAAGTAGACCAGCATAAGAATTACGATACGAAAGCGATCTTGTTTTGTTTTCTGTGCAGCTCCATAGTCACTCAGCCCAACTCGATGCCATCAATGTCATTATCAATATCAACAACATGATTGGACACAAAACTGAAAACTGAAAACTGAAAACGAAACGAAAACGCAGGCGAACTCCTCGGGGCAATGAATATGAGTCGAATCGATCTCTCGATCATCGTCGTCTACAATGTGTAAACACAGACGCACTAACTGCACTCAATCAAAAATTTGATTATTTTGATATGCACGGTGCTTGAGACCCCGCAGCCGCCCCCATTGATAATTCCACACAGAGCGGGGATAGTATAAACACACGCACTGGTCCAAGTGCCAAGGGCCTATAACAACAAACGGGCTAGAACCACGGCCAACACTCCCGGCCAAGATTGCAGCTGCCTCGCAATCGAGTTACCTTCCCTTCCCTTCGATTCCATTCGATTCCCTTCCATTCCGTTCCTTCAAACTCCACTCCGCGGCGGCATCTGCATCTCAATCTGCTTGTCAGCGTATCCATATCCATGATATTCGTGGAAATTCCACTTGAGCGCCTCAATTGTAAGAGAATACGAATTTAATTGCAGAACACAAACATGGGAGCGCTCCACGAGGAGATCTCTTCACCGCAGGATCAGCGGGGTGGATGCGTAAGTGGGGGAAGTATCGAAAGTATCGAAAGGTGTGAACGATCATCGATACGTTGCGGTTTGAAAACCATTACTGAGGTTTTCACTTCAAAATAACAGATAATAAGATAAGATAATAATAAGAAAACGGAGAAAAATAATTAAAATATAGAAATAGACAACAAGAACATATTGCTAATTATTTCAGTGTAACAAAATTAAAGAAATCATATTAAAGAGATCATATTAATATCCCAATCATATTAATGTTTAAGGAATGGTAATGTTCATTCTTCCCCAGTCTCTAAATATTTTTCTGTGATAAACTCTTTTTATAAATTTCTTTGCTATAAAATACTGAAATAACATTCTGCTTTGACAATCAACCAGTTAAACAAATGTTAGAGAAAGAAAAAGCTCATTAACCTTTATCTGTGTACTCGACTATTCGTGCACTTGAGACACATTACGAGCCAAGAAAACCAGCGAGTATAATAAAACAATAATAAGGGAAAACGAGACCGAGCCAAGCGAAACCTTCTCGAGAGGAGTGTTGTACTTCGATGGGATCGCCAAGCTATACAGTATCGATCCGATCCGTGCGCCGATGATCTGTCATATATGTGCGCCATTGTGCCAGTTGAACTCGATTCCGCAGCCACTCAAGACTCGAGACTCGAAACTCGATTCGAGTTCGGGCTGACATGTTTGATTTGTGGCCGTGATTGATTGATTGCTGCGACTGCGACTCTCGGCTGCTTTTACCCGGCCATGTATCTCAAGTAATGATTTTCGATTTTGCGCAGACCGCGAGTCACAAGAATTCTCCTCGGGATTGGTTCCCACAAATAATGACATGGCGACTTTGGCGAAACGGACAAGATTGAAGGGGCCTCGTCTGCGGATCGGTAACTCTGATTGACAACTTTACTGATCTCAACTGGGATCTGGACTCGGGAGGGGGATCTGGATCCGATCGCCGTGGATTCAATGGAGTGCGTGCGTGACTCCCTTTCCAGCCAGGTGAAATGCAACCCGAATATTCTGCAGCCACATCGCTTGGACTAATCAACAATGCATCGATACGGAAAATGGAAGCTTTCAGCTATGGATTCAGTTTCGATTCAGTACGCACTAAGAGAAATCAATAACTAATTATTTCTAAGTATCTCAATAGTACTTAATATATAAATATTACAGATATTATAAAAATTAAAAAAATATATATATATTACAGAATTACTAAGTGTTACAAAATACATACATATTACGAAATATATCATCAATAGTATTATAATAAATAAAAATAGAAATATTACTTAATATCGCAATATTACTAAATATCTAAATATTACTTAATACAAATATATACTTAAATATTACCTAATATCTAACTATTACATAAAAAATATTAAAATATATTGTGTACATTTCAATTATTTATTGTTAACTATAAGAGTGATATAATAAAAAATTAATGGGTGTTATGGCAATAGCTAATTTTAGACAATTTATTTTATTTTTTAGTTCATCTAAATATGTAGGTAAGTATATACTACCCACTATTTACAAAAATACAGCATTTTTTTAAGCCTTAGCTATTTCTTTCAGTGGGTATTATTGTGTTGCTGTTCCTGTGAACTGCCGTCACCATCGCTCGCCGATATCTGTTTTAAAATAATCCACGCAAGTCGCTTGGTTATTCGGCCGCTCGTCTTCGTTCGTCTGGCGCTATATCTTCAGCATCTGGGGCCATAAATAAGCCGGGGACAGTAGAATGTTTCGATACAAGGGCCTCGTCTTGGAGCCTTTTGGCCATCTTGACATACGAGTAAGTGAAGTAGGCAACCGGAGCCAAACTTAAGGCCCAGTATTCCAGTGCCTGGTTCTTTTTGTTTTTTTTTTGGGCTTGGGTCACGTGCACAATCTGCATTCAAAGTGGATGGCATTTCGCAGCAGCAGCCAATCGATAGCAGATTATTTTGGCTTTTCTCGGGATTCCAGGAGGATCGAGAACTGACTTTGAAATCAATTTTGTTTAAAAATGGAATGAATACAAATTGTTACATTTTCTTCAAATATATTTATTTTGTTCGCTAAAATGATCAAAAACTTAATCCTTGTTTTTAATTTAATAGTAATAAAGGGAGTCGCATACAACAATTAAATATGAATTGGATTTTGTATAGATTTCCAGTAGAAAAGAAAACTTTTCTTTTGTTGTTTAGGCAAAATCAAGCGCTATTTAATTTTAAGGCATTTTTGCAAACTAAGTGCTGATAGAGGCGATTGCAATTAAAGCAACCACCACTAAAAATGTTTTCCACTCCGCCTAATGCAAATAACAAAGCCAATTAGACGGCTGGCCAACTGAATCGAAATGCTTCAGAGCTTCTCGCCTCACTCAATCCCGCAAATCTCAGCAGATGCCAGCCGAACTCGTGAATTGTCAGCATCAAGCTCCCAAAATAAAAAGAAACAGAAACAGAAACAGGCGGAGACAGAGAAGAAACTGCCTTGCGTGTATGTCGCGCACTGCCATATCAGTCAAGACGAATCTCTCTTGGCCAACGCCGAACAAGCCGGACAAAATGCAGGCGGAAAGTGAGAAGCGGAGAGATTTTAATTACATCTACCATGCCACACTGTGCGAATATAGCCACATTCGACTGGGCCTCGTCCGACTGGCTGGCAATTATTTACATTAACACGATCACAACTCAGAGACACTGCACATGCATCATCGTGTTGCGATGTCGATCGAGATCTCAGACCAGACTGTAAACTGCGGACTGAAAACTGCTAAAGTTTTGCAGCCAGACTGCAGACCTGGCTAAAAGCAGACAACAGTCGATGTCTGTGTGCTGCCATGTATGCATATTAATTTATTGGAATCATGTTAGTGAGTCGATATTGATACAAATCCATTTTCGATCGCGTTCCCCGATACCCGAGGGCCAAGAAGACCCATGCTGGGAGCCCAAGTTGGCAGCAGACATTACACAACTACCAAACGCTCTCGGCCCAATGTCAGTGGGCAGAAGCTGGGGGCTTCTGTCTCGATCCGCAGGCCCTCCTTGAACCGCACACCCTCTCCACCCCTCTGTACCCCCTTAACCACTCTTTACCCCCATGAACCCCCTTTACCCCCCTCAAATCGCATGCTCAGCGACCGTATTGAGCGTTAATCGCCCGACTATCATGCGATTACGGAGTAGCAGAAGTTCTTGGTTCGGAGTGGAAGCGTCTCCGCCTTGACAGCCCGTGTTTGGGCGCCTTTTTCTAATTAAATTCAATTGATTAAACATTTGATTTACGACAGCAGGTAGAGTCTCTTCGGGTCTCAAACTAAAATCAGCGGCATCTATCTTGATCTTGAGGCGCAAAAGTCAAAGGGTAATTGCAGTATGTCAGGTGTTCCTTTGAGTTGTCTGACGTTCAACGGAAAAAAAAATATGTTAAATGTTAAAAAAAACTACAAGAAATATACAACAGTGGTTATTTATATTTCAACAAAGCTAAATGTTTTCAAAACGTCGGAAAATATTGTTTCAGAGGTAATGTTCCAAATGTATTTAAATAATTTTTCCAATTCATTCACAATCAAGTATTTGTAAGTGGTAATGCAAAAACTTTTCAGAAATACAACAGCGTGCTGCTCGTTCTCCTACAGATTGACGCTGTCGACATTGAGGGTCTTCCTCAGAAAGGTTATTATGTCGGTGGCCTCGTTGATTCGCATCGTGGTTGGCTTTCCAGCCCCATGACCCGCCTTCGTGTAAACCCTCAGCAGGATGGGATTCAGTTGATACTCAGAGTGTCGCACGGCCTCCTGGAGGGCGGCAGCAAACTTGAAGGAGTGCAAGGGACTCACGCGGTCGTCGTGATCGGCAGTCAGGATCAAAGTGGAGGGATACTCCTGGTTCGGGTTCAGGGGAATGTGCACATTGTGCAGCGGAGAGTACTTGAAGAGGTTCGAGAAGTGCGTCCTGTCATCGGGACTTCCGTAGTCCGAGCACCAGGCGTGTCCGATGGTGAACTTGTGGAACCGCAACATGTCCATCACTCCGACCTGAGCAATGGCTGCCCCAAAGAGGTCCGGTCGCTGGTTGATGCAGGCCCCCACCAAAAGGCCTCCGTTCGAGGCTCCCTGGATGGCCAACCGATCCTTGGTGGTGTAGTTGTTCTTGGTTAGGTACTCCGCGGCAGCCTGGAAGTCGTCAAAGCCGTTCTGTTTGTTAAGCAACCTGCCTCCGTTGTGCCACTCCATTCCGTACTCCCCGCCACCTCGAATATTGGGAAAGGCGAGGACTCCGTCGAAGGTGTCCACGAACATTAGACCGGTGATGAAGAACGAGGGCATCAGGCTGTGGTTGAAGCCGCCATATCCGTACAGAAGACAGGGTCTCGGTTCCACGCCGTCCTTCTTCCTCCTCACAATAAACATGGGAATATTCATGTCATCGGAGCTCCTATAGAAGACCTGCTCCACACTGAAGTCGTCCCGGTTGAATCCCTCCAGATTTAGAGTGCTTTCCCTCAGTACCTTTGGCTTCTCAACTGGCTTGCTGAAGTCGTAGTGGTAGATGATTCCCGGAGTGAGGAACGACGAGAACCCGTAGAAGATCTCCGAGTACTTCCTCTTCCCGGAAATCGAATTGATGGAACCAATATCCAGGCCGAACTGCCGGATGAGCTGACCTGTGTGCAAGTCGAGTGCCTGAAGGATGTTCTTCACATCCCGGTTGTAGCAAACCACGAGCTTATCCTCGTTGACGCACTTGGCCCACTCCAAAACGTCCTTTTCGTGTTCGGCTATTAAGGTTGTCCAGTTCTCCTCCGCCGGATTGTCGAAGTCAATCACAATCACTCTGTATTTGGGGGCATCTTTGTTCGTGTGGAAGTACATCTTGGATCCCTCGTTGGTTATGTAATCGTAGTCAGCCTCAAACTTATCAACAATGGGCTTGAAAGTTATTGCTTCATCTTCTTTCAAGTCCGCATAGTACACCATATTGTCTCGAACAGTGTGACTTATGGATAAGATCAGATACTTTCCGCAGTCGGATACATCGGTTTGGAGCCTCCATAAAGGATGTTCGGGGAACTCAACGATCAACTTATCCTGATCCTGACTTTCTCCCACGCGATGGTAGTAGAGTTTTTGGTTTTCATTCTGCTTCGTTTCGGATCCATCAGTTTTGCCAGCCTGATCGATGTACCGACCATAAAAGAAGCCCTTGTTGTCCTTCGTCCAGGAGATATTCGAGAACTTCACCTTCTCCAGAGTCTCTGGGAAATCGGTGCGCTCCTTTGCCTTGCGAATGCGGATTTTGTTCCAGTCGGAACCACTTTCACTCAGACCATACGCCATGTAGGCCCCATCATCGGAGAAGGTCTTCTGACTCAAGGCGGTAGTTCCATCGGCGGTTAAAGTATTCGGGTCTAGGAAAACCACCTCGGGATCCTCCAGAGTCTTCTGTTGCATCAAAACACTCTGATTCTGCAACCCAGTATTCTTGAAGTGGTAGTAGTAATCCCCATGTCGCATGGGACACCCGAACTTGGGGAAATCGAAGAGCTTCGTCAGTTTGGCGTTGATACCCTCCCACTCCTCACTTCTCTCCAGAAACGGCTGGCTAATATTATTCTGGGCACTCACAAATCGTTGGGTTTCCTCAGAATCGGGATCTTCCAGCCATCGGTACGCATCTCGCACTCTGTACTCATGTATCATTTCCTCGACTTTGGTATCCTTCCTTACTTCCGGATAAATGATCCTGGAATTTGGTTCCTCGATCACTGGACGACTGATGTCCGTGGGCCGATTCACCGACGCTTTGGGTTGTGACATGGTCAGAGATTTCAGGAACTGGGAGGGAAAGGTCTTCTGTAGGTTTCGCAGGCTGCGCTCTTTTGCTATAAATTGGAACAATAATTTAAGCATTTGTTTTTCAAAAAAAATAAAAGGCAGTTGAATTTTTGATAAATTTAAAATTTTAAGGCTTGGTTAAGAATGACAGTATTGAAGTTTGAATCGAAAGTTTGTACACCTCATCGTTTCGAAGCTTATACATCTGAGATGTCTTGTTTAACCTTTTACTCTAGCATTCCTCCCCTTCGTCTTGTATTACAAATGTTGCAGAGTTTCCGGGATTGTCGAGCATTCATCATCTCCCATGCAGTTAGGACCAACTTTCATTTTGCGGCTCTCCTTTTCTTGCCACGCCGCCTTTAATCAGCGCCATGTCGCACTAATTGCAGCAATTAATTGTCCGAAAAAAATGTTCGTGGCATGGCACGTGATGAGCAAAACTTTCGGCTGTGAATTGATGAAAGCCTGCGGAATGAAGGGGGAGGGGGAGGGGGAGGGGAATAGGGGGAGTGGGAGCGGGAGCTGGCTGGTTGGGGAAAGTCTATTGGACCAGAGGTCTACATTAAATTATTGAAATTCCAGAGCCATGTGTCGTGGTCGCGTCTCCTCTTCTGGCCAAAAGGGAGGCCCTTCCGCGACACATTGACATCTCTGGGACGCTCTTCTGACTGCTGCAGTTGCTCTTATTGGCGGACTGGCTGTAAGCCTAAGCATGCTGAGCATGTCAACAAGCCGGCTCTACACACAGCCAAGAAAACGAGAAGGCCAGAAGGGCGAGTGGCGAGCAGAGGGGCGGAGTGGAGCGGAGTGGAAGGGGCAACAAGTCAAGCGCGCTGACAGCCAACATGAGCGCAACAGCAGCGGAGAACAGCAGTAACAAGGCGTGCACTGGAAAAAAATGTTGCAAGTTACTTAGTTTCGCTTACACTATTCTCATTCGTAGTTAACAACGTTCGAAAGAGGGAGCTTACTACACCATTCAGTGTACATATTCATTACAAACTTCAAGTGACTTTATTTAGCCGTGTGTTAACTTAAACCAATTAATGTGAAAATATTGATTAAATAAAAAACTATTATTAATGTAGAAAACTTATATGACAACGCAAACTGTTTTAATGCTCATACAATATTAGTTTCTTTGTAAACAGATTCTTACAGTATAATATATTTTTACTACATTATCAATGTTGTGTAATATAATTAGTCACCTTTTTAATCTTGTTTATATCCTTTCAAACCAAAGATATCATATACTAAGTATTAGTAGATATAATACATATCATACACTTAGTTAAAAATAAATCTATAATAAAAGTAACAATTTTTTCGCGCAGTGCACACTGGTAGCCAGCGATCGTTCCACGTTGCTGCATCGATTGGATGCTGGGCTCGATGATCGTCATTGGGGATTTGTGGCTCGATCGAGATCGAGATTCTCGACTTTGGCTCATCTTCATCTCTGCAGCGATCACACGCACGCACAACAACCACACACACACACATACACAGACCGACATGCTGTATCTGTATCTGCATCTGTAGCCGAGTTTATGGAGATGAAACCGCGTGTGTTTTTGTCGCAAATCGCCAAGATTGCGATCTCATTAAAGCGAATTATTTGTGTTGCTGACTATGTTCTGGCCGTTGCATCTCTCACTGCGTTCTCCGATTCGATCCCGATTCTCCACGGAATCGGAGAGGGAGCGAATAGGGATTGGGTTTTGGGATTGGGATTGGGATTGGGATCGATGGGACTGCTCCTGCTGCTCCTGCATTCACGATTCTTATCGCGGGAACAAAGTTGTTGCTTCTCCGCGAGGCAGCAGTCGCAGTGGCTCCCAGTCAGCGATTTGCCAAACGTTTAAGCTACCCGGCCTGCAGTCCAATTCCTGCCAGTTAAATGTGCGATTAACGCGCTGCCGGGCCCATAATTTATGCCCCGGCCTTGTCAATAAGTTTTAGACTTCTGTCACACGATCGCTGGCCAAACCCAATTTATGTTCGGGTCTGAGTAGTAGGTTACTTCATCGATAGCTTTTTAAATTTGTAGAGTGCATAAATTACACAATAATTGTACTAGTTTCCATATATAAGTCAACTGTTTTAGGGTCTACAAAAATTTTGCATCTCAACGTAAAATGAGTCAACTTTAAGGATTATACGTTTTGTAAAAAGATTGTGCATAAGAAGTGTTTACACCTTTTAATTTCCTTTTATTGATTGATAATATTTTCCACTTTTAGATTCTGTAAAAGTATTCTTATATTTTGAAGTTATAAATGTATTTTGGTTAGTTCTAAAAAATCATGTTTCAAACATTCTTAATTTTTATTACTATTTGATGAGTTCTAAAATCCTTTTTAGTTCGAGTTTTTTTTCCTTTTCAGATGTTGTGTTTTAAATAACAAATATATTTTAATTAGATGTTTAAATCTCTTTTCTGTGATGCTCTTCGTTTTAGATTTATGAGTCCCCTTTGATTAGTTCCGAAAATCTCTTAAGTTTGAGTTTTATTTATGAGCTCCGTAATGCTGATGGATCGAGTGGGTTAATTAACATATAAATAGGGGGAGTATGTTCGTCGCCGGGCTTTCTTTCGCACTAAATGATTTGCCCCGATTTATATTCCTCTATTTCCATTTAACTAAAATCACTGCGGACACATGCCGGCCATGTATTTATCACTTTCGCTGCTCAGGTTGGCTATTTAGAGGCGGCCGCAGAGCTCATCAATCTGGCCGCCAATCCCTTCCCCTCGACAAGATGTATCTCCAGTCGGCCACAACTGATGAGAGTGGTCTGCTCCCGGCGGATGTCCCCCGAGTCTAATCAGGCTGTAATTTGAAGGACAGGCCAGCAGTTGGCCATCAAACTGCTTGAGTTTCGCCCTGACTTATTGCAGGTGACTCTTTTTACGACTCGCCCACTCCGGCCAACCCTTTCCGGAGTTTCTGGCCCATTTGGGGTCCGTTCTCCGGCCGGACATCTGGCAAATGAATGACCAGTGATTTGGCACCGGGCAAATGAATGAATTAGTTCCTTGGAGACGACCTCGTGGCTCCGTTGATGGATGTTCTGGGGCAAGGTCCACATCCAAAAATATTCTTTATTGATAATAAATTGAATTCGGCTAAGAGCACGCCTTTAAATATTTGTTTTAATTCGGAGCTGAAATATCGCGTTGCGCTAACCGATGAGAGATTTATGCGTTTGCCCCAAACTGTGAGATGGATGGGCAGAAAATCCAATCGACGCGAAGTGTTTACACTTTCCCCAGCGAACTGCAGGGGAAGTAGGAGGCATTAGTACTGATGGATAGAGTATCCAGTGGATCCCCTCCTTCGTACTCCTAATGAGGTTCGGGGATTCGGCAATTTGGTATTCCCATTCCGAGCACCGAGTGACCAAATCGGACCCAAAACACACGTGGTCGAGTGCCAGCTCATGCGTGGGGATCAGCGAAGAGATCGGCCCGACTTTTGGCTAGTTTTCTATTAATTACACTGATTTATGTGCTCATTGTCCATTGTATTGTGTCGCCTGGCCAACCGCACTCCGCACTCCGAACCGAACCGAACTGCCCCCTCGCCGACTTTATGATGGTTAACTCTTTTAATGGCTAACTCCGGAGGGGAAAGCATTTTCCATTGTTGTGCTCTCGGCGAAAGAAAGTTGATTACGATTCTCGGCCGCAGATGCCAACAGATAAATATGGAAGTCGGCCGGAATCTATTGTTAACCAATTTGAGAACGCATTAGCCAGCGATTCGAGCTGCAACTGCGATCCGTTGAATAGAAATTCTTGCCTTGGCAAAACTCAATTTGCAATTCCTCCGCAATCCAGCGGCAAGAAACTCCCAGCTGACTCAAAACGGATACATATGCTATTTGATATATACATATATACATACTCTGCTGTCCGTCTCTGTCAAAATAAATTTGAGGCATGGAACGAGCACGAAGCCAGAGCAGCGGAATAAATCAGTTTGTAAACATAAATAAAACAACAGAATTTATTTTTTTCGCACACTTCGTGCATGGAAAGTCTCAGCTAAACTGCCGTCGTCATCTCTTCTGACAATAGGCAAAGAAAATATCCTATCGCCAGTGATTGGGGGCTGAGAAGTGGAAATGGGTAAGGGGAAAGGGGAAAGGAGGGGGCGATGCCAATTAATGGATCCAGACACCTCGAATTTTCGCATTTTAAATAATAATTTTTACGATGCACAATTTATTGGCCGAAAGCGAGAGGTCGAAGCAAACGAATATGAAGAGTTGCACAATTTCACAAGATGGAAGATTTCAAGAGCTTACAATTAGAGAAAAATACCTTGATAATAAATTAAAAGAAAAATTACATGCAATTAAAATCAGCTATTAATAAAATAATATTAAATTAAATAATATTAATATTAAATTTAAATCTTAAACCAACTTTGTCAATTTAATTATAAACATTATTCTTCAAAGTGTTGTGCTTATGTTCATGGAGCACTTTTCTCGGATTTTCCCAACCCATAAAAATGGCCATAAAAAATATATAAATTTAAATATTTTAAGTGGCAACCCTATATCAGGTTGAATATTAGCTCATCGTTCCATCTAAGGCGACACAGTCGCAGAGGGCAACTCTCGCTTTCAGTCGACCAATTTTACACTTGAAACAAACAAATAAACATCGGATGCGATTCCATCCGAATCTCTGCCCTCCGCGGATATCGAAGCACTGCCTGCATTTGTGTATCTTTGGGATGCGAACGAGCCGCGATTTGTGGTGTTTTGATTCCGCTGCTGCCAGTGTTTGTCGATATTTGAATTATTTCCATCGCCACTTGCCCCACGGGCGGTGCAGTCGGAGGGGCGGTGGCTGCTGATGGGGCTGTGATTCTGTTGCGGGCCACTTTTTGGCCACAATTGTGTGGCCGGTGCTCCGGGCTCCGGGCTCCCGGCTCCCGGCTTCACGGGCTCGGCCCAAAGCCCTTCCGACCCGCTGTTGTAAATCAATTGGACGCTGAGTGCCCTAATGTGCTGTCGATGGGTTTACAATCCGTCAAAACAGTTGCCTGGACACGGGGAACTGCATCATCGCCACCAGCGACCTATTAGCGAGTGCTCCAAATAAACAATCAATCTGGAGAGTTCTTAAGT